TACTCCAGAAACTCTTACATGTTTATAAACATTCTCTGGAATTTTGCTATCTTTCTATTTGTGGAGGTCAATGTCTAATGAATTTGTGAGTTTGTTAAAATTCAACTTATGTGTCTAATGTCAAAATAAAGTGAAATTTTGGTCTGTTCTTAACGATGTGCCGAATGTCACATTTTGTAAGGAGTAATCATATGTCAGCACTCTAAAACCTGAAATTAACACCTAGCTGTAGAGGCTTATAACCAGCCTTGCTGTCTACTCTATCACAAGGACTTGAATTGGGCGATACACAGGTATTCTCACCACACAATGTTTTCCAGACCTTTCCCCAAAGACCCATCAAGACAGGAACATCATCAAAGGATCACTGGTGCTAATACAGGGCACATCTATCTTTTGCTTCTTCAAATTACATGGCAGATGAAATGCTGGCTTTCTGTTCTACCACAGAACATTCAGGCTGATAGGGGCCTCCATTGGCTAAGGCAATGACCACCAAGTACACTTAGGCATCCCTGTTTCTCAGTGGAGACAAACTTCTCCCAGAGATGCACTTTGTCTGGAATGCATTAAGCTCTCACCTCACTCAGTCCTGGAGACAGTCTTATTCTGCTTGCTTCTAGAACAGAAAGTAAGTACAGTTCTGCAATTAGTAAGTTAGGTATACAGACCACACAGAAGTCTTGTTTGCCTGATGGCTTGTGAAATAAATGCTCTGTAAATGTGTCATCCAGAACTATGGATTATCCCTTTAAGTACCTCATCAGAATTCTCATTATTATTTTTTTAATAAGGCTAAAAAGACAGGCGAAAATGAAACATCTTGCCTTTTGAAAAATAAGTCAAATGTTTCTGTCACCATTTGTGATATCCAGTATTTCCTCTGATTTATAACGCTTGCTAGGCTATAACTCTCTCTACTATGTATTAATAAAACCTCTTGGGTGACTTCCAAGATGATCCTGTTATATGGTGTTACACGCTATCCATCTTTTGAGAGAAAATTAGAGTGAGTTCTATATGAATTAAGTAGAAATGAATTGGAAATACACTATGTACTGTCATCCTGAAGCTATGCCCAAGAAAACAGCCAGTTGTAAATGCATGGTGCAATCCTATCGTTTTGTGCCCTTATAAATGGTACAGCTACAACAGTTGCAATGAAACGAATATGAATTGCATGCCTATGGCTATCCATAGTACTTTACATAGTACAAGTACTTTACATGTTTTGTCTAATTTGATCTTTAGACTGATCGTGCACAGTACGGGCATTGATTGATGTGGAAACTTGGACCTGAGAGGTACAAGAAATTTGACAAGAATCACAGCTAGGAAGGGTCAGAGCTAAGACTTGAATTGAGTTTGAGTGTTAGAAGGCAGTGGTAACTACAAAGTGCCATTGTTGGCCTCTCTATTTTCAAGTCCAGCGAGAGCAGTAAATACCTAAGGCCACAGAATGGTGTTTGCTTGAAACAAAAACATACAAGTAGAGTAGCAAGAGTCATTCATAAGATATTCAAAATGATGATGATGTTAGGAGCAAAGCCACCCAGTATGCAAAGGGCCAGCTGAAGGATGTGATTTCATGAGGTGAATCTGGAGATGAACAGGCTTCCTGGGATCATGAAAAACAGCACTGGGATGCTCGCCTTCTTTCCCTAATTTTTAAAAATTGTGACTCGAAGAAGGCACATTTATTTTCATTAAGGAACACCTAATTAATTATTTCAAGTTAATTAAGTGGATCTGCTCCGAGTTGAGTTTAGTATATAAATCCACATTCAGAAGTGTTGCCATCTGGCCAGAATGGGGAAAGTAAAGCGTTTGGGGAACAGAGCAAAGAGCATTGTAGGAAGAAAATCAGAAAACTGCCTCTAGTCGTAGCTACTTTGGTCCTGCAGACAGAAAAAGCTGGATAGAAAGTACAGTGTAGCAAGACGTTTAGCCCCAAGGGCATTTTTTCTGTGTCATTTACAAAATTGCCTTTTCCATGGTTGAACCAGCATCCCCTTAGCTCGTTTACAATCACCATGTAACTCATCTTCAGCCTCTCTGGATCACTTTCCTGTCTTCTGTTCTTCCAGCTTCATTGCATCTTTGTCTGTTTACCGCCTGCTACTTCTAGAAGAGTGTTCTCAACCTTCCTAATGCTGCGACCCTTTAATACAGTCCCTCATGTCGTGGTGAACCCCCAACCATAAAACTATTTTTTGGTTGCTACCTCATAACTGTAATTTTGCTAATGTTATGAATCATAATGTAAATATTTGATATGTAGGATATGTGGCGTGTGACCCCTGTGAAAGGGTCTTCAAGTAGTGAATTGGGTCACAAGCCATAGGTTGAAAACAGCTGTTCTAAAATATGAGCTAAAACATACACAATGAAAATAGCATAGAACTTGTCTATCAGAAATGGAGGGTGTGGTTGTTTTAGTTATTGTTTTATTACTGTAATAAGATACCATGGCCAAGGCAACTTATAGAAGAAAGCATTTATTTGGGACTTACAGTTTTAGAGAGTGAGTCCATGATCATCATGGTGGACAGGATGGCAGCAGGCAGGAAGACATGGCACTGGAGCAGTAGCTGGGAATTCACACATCTTGAGACAACTTAGAAGTAGACAGAGCTAACTGGAAATATCACAACTTTTTTGAAACTTCAAAGCCAGGCCCCAGTGACACACTTCCTCCAAGAAGGTCACACCTCCTAATCCTTCACAAATTGGGGACCAGGTATTCAAATATATGAGCCTATAGGGAGCATTCTCACCCAAACTACCACAGTGGCCAAGATTGGGTATAGTTGAAGCCATCTGTAACTGTGCTTTTCCACTCATCCTCTTTGTTCCTGAACTAATAACTTGGAGACTTCTTATATATGAATAAATGCCTAGGCTAATCCCTTGACTTCCTCCCCAACTAGCTCATAACTTAATTACCCATTTATTCTATTCTAACTCATACCATGTAGCTGATCCTCAGTTTCATGTGACCATCTCCATCATTGTTGGAATACAATCTCCTTTTCTACATCCATCTCTGCGGGACCCCTGTTCCGGAGGGTGTCCCACGACGATCTCCCAGCTGGGGACAGGGTGAGAGCAGGGAGGGTCCACTACTATCTCTGCTGCTTCCTCTGCCTTCGTCTCCACTGTCAGTCTCCAGCCCAGACTGGTGCGGGAGGTCTGGGCCAAAGGGCACAGATTGCAAGCCGAGAGAGGAGATTGCCTGCTCCCGCTGCTGGCCCTGCTCCTGTCTTCGCTGTCCCTCGGTCACTCCCAGGTGCTGCACCTGTCTCTCCATGCTGAGCCGGCCTGGGCTGGCCTGATAAGAAACCCGCTAGCTGGCAAGGAGACATCTTAGTGTCCCAGGCAGGTTCTGGAAGAGTAGACTTCTCCCCAAGTGTTACAGCTCTAGTGTTACAGCTCTTGTGACAGAAACTCTGGGACACCAGGATGATTCTCGAACACACCTTTTTACTTCTCCAGAATAGAGCCTTTATATACAGTTTCAGGGTGGGTTAGGGTCTGGCAGCAGATAACACCTATTGGCTTGGTCTGAGAGCTTGGAGATACCTCATCTACATGTGGGAGAGCCTGAGGCACTGTTCCTCATGACTCGGGGCCATAGACCTCTCTGTGGGAGGGGCTGTGGAGGGCTGAAGCTGAATGAAAAGAACAGGGCCCTGGGAGCAGAGCTGAACACCTGCTGTCCTGATAAAGGCCCCCAGGGTTGAAGACTTATGCTCAACCAGGCACCCAACTGTTTCTCACATCCCACTGCCCCACATATCTCTATTCCTCTCTCTTTCTGCCAGAACTCCCACCTCCTATTTCCTCATTGGCTATAAGAATTTTTATTGACAAGTGAAGCTTCCATACAGTGAACAGGAGATTCTCTCTATAACTGGGCTGATAGCAATTGACTGAAATGAGGTTTGCTATGCCTTGATTGTATTGTATTGTTTTGGTCTATGTGTACTTCTGTTTCTCTATGGCCTATTAAGTCCTTGATGGTAAGAGCTAGGCTTACTTTTACAGTTCTATTTCCTTGGTATGTAGTTGAATGTTTCAGACACAGAAGGCATTGTAAGAAGTCATGAAGGGGTGAGTGAGTAAATTAGTCAAGAATAAAGGAGTGAGAAAATGAATAAAACAAGAAAATTGGCAGTAATTATTATTTTTTAAAAAACCTTATTGTCCCCTGATAAACTACCCAACATATCTCTGGAAGAAAGTCCAGGGTCATAACTTTTCAAAAGCATTCTTGACCTTATAAACTTATACGAACCACTCTTCCAACACACACACACAACAAAGCAACAAAACAAACAACAAAAACAAAATGAAAACCCATCTGAACTGTCAATCAAATGACTTTGGAAGAACAGTGACACAGTACATGTAATCCTGATTAGTTTGCTTTTTGATGGGGAGGAATGTTGTATTTTTCTGACTCTCCCTGTTCAAGGATAATCTAATCTTTCGGCAGTAGTTACTGAGGTCAATAATAGTTCTTACTGGGGAGACAAATCACGTCTGCTTTGGATTACTGTGAAACAAGTGCCCCATCATTGCTGTCAGCGAGGCTTCTTTGCTGGTAGCTTCATTATTCCCTTCAATGAAATGTCTATATTTCTTTTGGGTTTAATGAGGCCACAGATAACCAACTCTTCACCGAGTGATATTGGTGATTTTTTTTTCTTTGAATTTGATGTATTCTAATTTGTGCTTAACCAGCCTTCCCAAGTAATTCAGGTATTCAGATGGGCATTTTAGGGACAATTAGCTAAATGTTCCTCTCATTAGCCACAAGGCCTAGGGAAAAAAAGACAAAGGAAATCAATAAGGCAAAGCCAGTTTAGGAGAACATTCACTTTCCATCAAGAGTGTCAGGTAGCTCATCAAGTGGCATGTTCCTGTGCCAGGCAGCTTCTCTGACCCAGGGACATCATTACACTTTGCTGCTAAATCACCTTGCTTTTGTGTTTCAGTTTTCAGGTCTTTACCTCCTGTCTTTCTTCACCATCCTCATCGGGCTGGTGCTGTATTCCTCCACCTCTACATACATAGCCCAGGATCCCCGAGTATACAAGCAGTTCCGTAATCCTTCAGGACCTGTCGTGGACTTACCCAGCACTGCTCAGGTAGAGCCTTCAGTCACCTACACCAGCCTGGGCCAGGAGACAGAAGAAGAGCCCCATGTACGTGTGGCCTAGGGGGAGACCTGCCCTGCCCACTGAGGACAACTCAGAGGCCGTGTGTTTGCCCATCATCTCTGTATTGTACATAGAGAAAGGTATTTAGTAGGTGCAGTTTCACAGGTGGACCGCAAGGTAGCTTATCCTCCTTTCATCAAACGAAGAAGCTGGAGACCACTGGAGACACAGGCTTCAATCCACCTGACTCAGAGAGAGGCTTTGATAGTGTGTATCCTGACCCAGCCCGCACCCCTCCATTGATTACTGTGAAAATTTTTGAATCAAAAACAAGTATCATTGTTACTATGATCTTTATTATTAATTGTTACTGTTATTACACCGACTTTCAGAAGGTTTTTTATTCCTGATGGGAATTATTGCCAGACCCCCACCTACACAACATAAATCCCACTTTTCTATGGCAAGTCACTTTTTAAGAATCATACTTTTTGTTTGTTTGCTTGTTTGTTTGTTTGTTTGTTTTGCACAGACTATATGAGTGATGCATGCCACAGAAGCTTGCCCATCCTGGTGACCTTGTGGCTAATGGTTTCCTCTGTTACCTGTTGGATTGCCTGTTCGATAAGGATTTTGTGCTGTGACCCTTATGGGGAGGGGAAACTAACCATATAATTCTCTATTCTAGGAATAGATATAAAACAAACAGTTTAGCCATTTTATATTTCATTTTCTGCTTATTTCAGGCCACTGACTTTCTGATGGCCCAGGAGATTCATCTAATCAAGCCCTGTGACTACATGATAGGGACTGTCCCATTTTTGTGGCTTAAAGAAACCCTAGAAATATGGGTTATATTTAAGGTTATATGTTTTTGATTTCTTTTTCTGCCTTTACCTATATTGCTCTCCTCTAAAATTGTTTTTATTTTCATTTTTTTAATGGTGTCATGGAAATTAATCAAGACACTGGAAAAGCCATGGCCTCCACTCTCTTAGTTACATAGTACCTTTCTGGAAGCATGCCAACATGGAAATTATCTGTATTGTGGAGCCGCACTATTCATGCCACCTCTTATAGTCAAGGTACTAGTGTGGAGAAATCTCTGTTAGTAGCTCATGCTCTGGTCACTTAGTGATAAAAATGTCACCATTGAAAAGTCTGGCAGTTAGATCACACTCAGTACTCACCACCTAATAGAATATAAGGAAAAGCAACTACCCACAAAGAATGCTACAGCATCCCAATAAAACTAGATATATTGCTAGTTTATTCAGTTCCGTTGTCTTCAAGAATGTCACACAAACACAGAGAGAGCTCCAAACACATAAAATTAAGAAACACCACAGACTTTTATGATGTAGAAAAAATTTCATGTGTCAGCATGGAAGTTCTCTGTAGCTTGGCTGACTTCAATATCATTCAAATGGATCCTTGATGGAGTTACAGGGTTTGTATAAATGTTTATGTAATTTCAGGCGATTCAAGTCAACATATTTTAAGCAAGCAAGCAAAACAAAACACTTGTAGGGTGTGGGGAGTCTCACAAAGACCAGATTGCAAAGTAGGACCCCAGCAAGTCCTAAGCATAGCAGACAGAAGGTCTCAGGCTGTCTACTAGCAGGCCTTTGTCCTTGTTGCCTGCCTTCTTCTGGGAGGAGTCACATGATCTATTTTGATAAGTCTCATGAGAACAACACATACACAAAATAAGTAATGTGCTTGAACACTGTAACTCAGTTTTAAATTTTTTCCCGTTGAAAAATATAACTTCTCCCTCTAAAGTATTATTTAGTCTTGACCTAGGAAATAGAAAATAAAACTGTTTCCTGATGTGTAGATTTCACATCAGTTAAACCCCTTTGGAAATAGGTTTTCTTTATTAGGGTGGGGTAGACGGGGGCAAGAAAGGTTTGTGCTAAAGCCACATATCACATCATAATAACCTTGCCAACATCTGCTCTCTGCTACCTTTTAAGCCAATTAAATACCTTTCTCTGAATATTTTGTCCATTCAGATCCGAAGACCTTTAATGACTGTGGTTTTATTTTTATGTTTACATTCCTTTGGTTTGCATAATTTACTTGATTTATTGCATTTTTAGTATTTATTTTAAGCCAAATGTCTGTGTCTTTTTTATTCATTTTTATGACACTAATTTGTAGACACTGTAATCTCTAATGAGAAACAAGTGGTTGAAATTATTTCCAAGTCCATTCAGTAGGCTGGGAATAGTTTTAAAGTTACATTTGAAAAAGCTTGCAATTAGTTGATGGCTGAAGGTGGCCGTCTGGACCATTTTATAGGATGTTTTAATTGACTCCATTGTATGGAAACCAAGTGTGAATATCAGGATGAACTCACTGTACATTTTTTGTTATCGAATGTCTTTGTGATCAGACATTAGTGCACCTGTGTTGGTTTATCTCCATTCATAAAGCTAGTAACGTTGGCTCATCCAAGACTAGGAGTTTAGGATTGACCCTTAAGGGAAAAAGACAAAAAGTTGCAAAGAACAATGTTTTCAGGCTGAAAGCATTGGTGGTTTGAGAGTGGGCGGGAAGTGGGAATAGGGTAATATTAACTGTAGCTGTTTTAGTTTCTGAGATTCTGTAACGTCAGTAGACACCAGCAAGAATTTTGGCATTTTAATCTACCACTCTTCTCACCTCAATCAATGAGAACAGTCTTCTGTATGAAGCTGATGAGAAGCAAACCATAGCTCTCTTAAACCCTACCAGAGATGAGTGGTGGTTTTCACTTTCTCTATGGAGACTTGCACTGGGGACAGAGCTTGCCTTGGTCACACCTCCTCATGCCTTCAAACACATATCCAGGTAGACCAAGACATGGACAACTTCACACTACTGTGTCCCATGAAAATATTTCAATGTTTAGTTTAGGTATTGCTAACTTGTGCTATTAACCTTCTGACAAGCTTGTAGTATTGTTTGTTTGGCATTTATTTTTGATTTGTAACCATTTAGTAGTCCCCAGCTAGCTATCAGTGCAGATTTTACCCCATGGGTAGGAGTCTATCTTCACACCACATAATGAAGCACACTAATCCTGATACCACAATGGAAAATATGAACCAAAATGTTAAAAAAAAAAGAAAGGAAGAAAGAAAGAAAGAAAGAAAGAAAGAAAGAAAGAAAGAAAGAAAG